ATCAAAGGAGAATTTCAAGCTACTTGCATCTTTGTGGGCTTTGGAGTCGTGCGGCGTCAGCCATCATTTAGGCGTATTATGAGTGCCACGAAGTGAGGGTTTGATTCCCGCTCCAGCCGGTGCAAATTTTGGCAACCTGAAAATTTCCCTACTGTTCTAATGGGTGCTGTCCGTTGTCTAGTGTTAAGTATTCAGTCTGTGCAACCTCTGGGTGAAGACGGTGTCAATTGTCTTGTGAACTCTGATGACAATTGCATGGAGATTTTGTCAACAAAGGATCAATACAACACGAAAGAGAAATCATAGAAAATTCTTATGATGAAACTTAAGAAGTATGCTGATACGAATCGTGAGAATTCTGTCCAATGTTTCTATGGAGATTAATTTTGATAAAATTTTAAGCGCAATTTCTGGGAGACTTTCAAAACCATTTTGGCAAAGTACTTGAGTTCTTAGGTGTGGTGTCCAAAATTTGCTGCTTCCTCCATAACGAACTACTCGCCTCGAAAATCGTCACAAGAATCAAGGTCAAGGCTGGACCCCGTCTGCTTGATATCTATCGAAACGCTAAAGCAGATGCAGATGCTCCTAATGCAGATTTATTTTCGAGGCGAGTAGTTCGTTATGGAGGAAGCAGCAGATTTTGGACACCACATTAGGTAATACTGAAAAGGATTTCAAAACAATTCTACCCTTACCTACAAAGCAGTTTAAAGGAAATTATCGGATAAGTCTGAGAAGAGATGACGGTCATTCTGAAAAGTGTACCAAGGAAATAGTTAAGAATATTTTAAGAATTTCATAGAGAAAAATGGACACCAAATTAAGCCAATTCTTGGGAATTATTACCAATTTGAAGAAGTTGTGGAATTGGAGAGTGATTTATAAGAGATTTCAAGAGGTAATGCTAAGAACTCTGAGAATGTTACTGGAAAAGTTTAAATATGTTCATGATTATTTTAGGGGAATATAGAAAAGAAATATGATGGTATTCTAGGATGATTGAATTGAACTAAAAAAAAGGCGAAGATATACTGTGAAGAGTTCCAAGTAAATACAGACTAACAAAAAAAATCATGATCTGGGACGCAGAAAAATATATGTTCCGGAATTAAAAATCATTGCAAGATCCTGAGACTTCAAAAATGAAGCTACCAGACTTTCATTTAAGTAATATAATAAAATTATTCTTTGGCATAATGGTCATGCGAAAAGTGGATTTACCCGTAGTTTAGGCAAACTGTGTGTGAGTTCCACGATGTTAGGCTTTGATTCCCACTTCAGCCCGGTGAATTTGGCTTCAAAATAAAATTGCCTACTGGTTTGCTGGGTATTGTGTGTTGTATGATGTCAAGAACTAAACTGTAGATCTGATCAACCTCAGAGTATTAGAATTATTTAGACCTAATAAAATCTTTAAATTCTGGTACTGCATTAAATAGTAAGGACTACATCGACTATTAGTTCAAAAAATCCATCCCATCAAATTTCCTTGATTCTTTGCTTTTCATTCTTTTTAAAAAAAAGTTACAGTTTAAAAAACAATTCTAACCATATTTTTGCTGATTTTTACCCACATTTAACTCAATTTTTGAAATGCTGCGTAATGGATATTTGAACTTTTTGGGCACACCTTGTCAATACTTTTCAACTTTTGGATGATTTTAGCAATGCTAACAAGTTATTTGCTTTATATAATTTATTTAAACATGTTATTAATAAGCATTCTAGTACTTTAAATAAATTCCAGATGATCATACTGACCTATTTTTACGGAAGATTAGCACATCACTTTGATTTCAAAAGCTTTACGTTAAAAAGGGGATTTTTTGGAGCATTCCAGATTTTTCCAGATTTTATATTTTACTTGGTCTAGATTTTTCTGAAAATGACTTGGCAACGCTGTTGTGCGGTGTCAGTATCAACAAGTGATTCGGCTGCGTCGGAAACACTACAGCTTTGTAACCCAGTATCATTATCGAGTACCAAATCGAGAATCCGTGAATTGGAATTCACAACGCCATTTACCTGTGTCAGGCTATGGAAGCAGAATGCATCGTACAACATACTACTAGCTCTCGTCAGTCGGGACCTGCTGGAATCTACTTTGAGACCTCCATCTTCTGAAGGTATCCAATGCAGTTGAGGGTGATTATAGTCACCGAGCTGAAAAGCGACATCATGAGGCATAATGAGGCGATGAAACAGAATCGATAGATGTAATATGCTGCTGAATGAGAAACAGATCATCTGTACGATCTGGTGGCAGATAAAGCACTCCAACGCTGACGGCACACATGGGAAGCATGATTTTAACCCAAAGATGCTCAAGAGCATTACTAATCGGAGCCGGATCAATACAACAGCACAAACTAGATGATACGGCCATCAGCACTCCGCCGCCCCGAGTTTTTCGACTATTCAATGGGCTTCGATCTGTTAGATCTGATAGATGACCAATTAATTTGTTTCGAGCCATAAAAAATCCAAGGCTAAAGCACGGGAAACTCACTACGCCCAACCTGTTAACTATGCTCCTCCTTCTCATATTTAGAAAAACCGCGGTGCCTTCCGCTTTTGGCAATATGCGGTTGTCTTTTTTGCATTCTATAAAATGTATCGAACGCTTTATTCAATTTGAAATTGAACTGGAGCAGTTTTCATGGGTTAGAGGTTCATGGTGTATTTCATGAGAAACTGTCCAGGAAGCACTTATATATATATATCTAAGGAAAGTAATAGCTGATGGGATCGTGTTGCCAAAAACGGGTAAACAGTTCAACTGGGCCTCCCTTAGCTCAGTTGGCAAAGGTGCAGCTACAAAGCAAGACCATGCTGGAGGTGGCTGGGTTCGATTCCCGGTCCTGTCTAGGGATTTTTCGGGTTGGAAAATTTCTCGACTTCCCTGGTCATAGAGTATGATGGTACTTGCCACACAATTATACTAATGCAAAAAAGGTACCAGACCTCGAAAGCTCTCAATTAATAACTGTGGAAGTGCATCTAGAACACTAAGTTGAGAGCACGCAATAAGCTAAAATGCGATAAGCATTAAGCTTGAAATGCGAATAAGAAGAAAAAGAAGAAGTGCAGCTGGATTTTTTTATTTAAATTACTGGAAAATCAGGGAATAACAGGGAATTTGGTTTTCTTCATTGAGCACTCTAGTTCCAAATAAAAAAAAACTCTATGAAAACTATTGTTAGTGTGGCATTTGGAAAAATCGGGCACCGAACCATGGGTAAGAAAAAATTGCGTTGAATTTGGTCAGAGTCTGGTCATAATGCATTCAGGCATGATTTCTGGCCACATTGGTCCGAGTCGGTTGTTTGCTGACTCGGTAGGACTGAAGGCGGTCCCGGAGGTTGGGTTGCATCGAGCTTTTTTTTTCACCATGCTCAGAGACGATCAGAGACGCCAAACCGAAACTTTTTTTTGTTGGGTGGCAAAATCAAATTCTCGCTTCCTGACGTATTTCATTTTAATGACTTAAGTCCTCTCAGTGTTATGAATTCAACAGAGTTGATGGGACGTGCTCTCCTAGAGACATTCGAATATAGGGATTCATTTTGTTTGTTATCGTTAATGACATCCTCCTCACGTTTGCCATCGAACCAATATCCTGTCAAGCTGAAAATACGCTGAATATTTAAATACCGGTCCAAATGATTGTCGTTTACTGCATTGAACTTTTTAATTACCGAAATACCTGGTAGAGCTGGACAGTGTCCACCAGTTCTGAGTGTCAAACATTCTCCTTCCCATCCTTTCCCAGGATAAAGATAGAACCGATTTAATCGCAACGGAAACTGCCAGCTCCAGTCATTAAACTGCGTAAATGTCCATCCCATTAAAGATTAACTGTTATTTTTACGACCTTGGTAACAAGTTCACCCCCGAACCTAGAACAAACAAATTCAAATGACCTGCGCCAAAGCTTAACTAATCAGTCTCATCCCTGAATCGACGATCTGACGATTTCTCGCCCCGTCCAGTTCAATGTTGATGTTTTCCGCCGCTCCTAATGACAAATCCGGGCCGGTCCCTGTTCGGCAATCAAATTTGCATAATTTATTCCATCGCTCAGCTGTCACCAAGGTTGACCCCAGGCCCATTAGTTTGTGGGTTATGCGTTCACGGGCGACGGTGGCCGCTTTACATGAAACCACCGCACGGTCAGAAAGGAAAGATCCGACAATTTGCGTGGGTGTCAATTTCGGAGCCTATAAACGAGGTTCTATCGCCCCAAGAGGCTGGATTTGCTACCAACGGCCGACGGAATGGTCCTCATCGCTGACGACTGGGTGTGAATCTCGGGGATTGGAGCGGGGAAACTGTGAGACCGTCTTGCACAAGCAAATTCGATACAACCTTTGTCTATACACAGCTAGGGTGCCAATGAAAATGAAAATCGATGCCGACCACGATGCCGATACTTTGAAAGAAATCCACAATTTAGGTTGGCGGAAATTTCGGAAGTTGCCCAAATTTTGCATACGGACTTTTTTCGATGCAATGGACATTTTATATAGGGTCGATTAGAAAAATTCCACAGTCACTTTTTGCCAATCATTTCATTGGCACCCTAATAACTATACACGTTGGCTGTACAGTACAGGCTGCTGGTGATTTATGTGTTTTCATTTACACGGAATCGATTTTCGATCCGGAACGATGGGCAGTTTGATCAGTTGGAAAATCGGAACGGAAGAAGTTTGGGAGAACTTCTTCAGAAGAAGAAAGTAATCTCCTGGTCTTAGGAACTTTTCTTCATCTCACCGGAATGTAATCCTTTCCGTCCTTCTCAGCCTATATCTTTCTATCTCTGTCATCAAGACGACAGTAGTGTGTCGGTAGCTGTTCGTTTGATCCCATTCTCCTGTTGCACATATCTGCCCTGTGTGTAAATGTGAACCGAAATCGAGAGATAGGACCCGTCGCTGTATATATGTAGATATCACTGTACTTAGCTGTTGTCGTATTTTCCTGTGCCATTTCAGGTCGCGTCGGATGCCCACACTACATCGCTCCGGAGGTGGTGACGAGACGGATCTACGGCAAGGCGTGCGACGTCTGGGGTGCCGGTGTGATGTTACACGTGCTGCTGTCGGGCCGGTTGCCCTTTCTCGGCTCTGGCAAACGGCTGCAGGAGGCCATCGCACGGGGAAGGGTGATGGTAAGTTATCACGGGAATGCGCGAAAGTGATTTGTCGTGTTTCGCCGAGCAGAGGCGAGGTGATGACGTTGGATTCCTGGAAAAATGATGGGAGAAGTTTTTGGTTTTTTTTTTCGAACCGATAGAGGAAATGGCTTTAATGTGGGCCTATGAATCTAAGATTGGACCTATCGCTAAAAATCTGCTATCTATCATTTTTATCTAGATGAACGCGTCATTGGGACGGTACTAATGGATTCTTTTGGTCGCTATTGAAAATTTAGTCGATTGCTGAATCAATGTATGGGCCCAAATTAGGGGCATTTAGGCCAACATTACAACCATTTCCTCTATATCAAAAGGTCCTTGTTAAATTTTTGAATTTTTTTTCTTTAAATACTGCAAATTTTTGGAATGTAAAATATAAAATAATTTTCCAAAAATTCTTAACGAGAATTTTTGATATTTTTTTTTTTAAATATAGTTAGCTCATTTTTTGAAGATAATGTTTCACAGGAAACGGTTTAAAATAGATCAAGCATAGTTTTCTTGATAGGAATAACCGTACCAACCGTTCAAAAATTTGACCAAAAGTCCTTGCTCTACGATTTTTTTTTTTCAATTTTGAGGTGTCCATAATTTTGAACATTCCAAAAGTTTGCATTTAATATTACCCTGCCAATGCACAGTGGGCTAGGCATTATATTTTTTAGAGATTTTTAGCCGAATGCACGTTCATCCCTTAAAGTGATGTAAATATCTATGCATGCGAACACCCAACAAACAATTTGAGTTGATCAACAGCTGATTAAGCTATTTTTTAACTGAAGAAGCTTGTTTTTATATATTAACGAGATGAAATCCTAGCAGTTAGTATTCTCCTTACTGTATCTTTAGACATCGTTAGATCTATACGCTCACAATAATTATTATAAACTCTCATCATTCTGTTGATTGGTCCATTTTTACCATAATTCGTTCTGTGAGGTGACAGTTGAAATACATTTCGAGTTCTTAACATGCGTGATGGTACGTAAAAATTTAAGCTTGCTAATATTTTTTTCTGAATTTACGCGTTGTGAGATAATATCATTAACAAAGGAAACATGGAAATTTTTCTTCGTTTCTTAAGTGTTTCAATGCTTATCAACATGCAACGGAACTCATAAGAAGGAAGGAGAAAAGAGGTCCAGCCTTGTTTCCTAAGAGCAAATAACAAAAACTGTTTTTGAACTGATTCTATACGATTTATATAAGTTTCATGATATGGAGCCCAAACCACACTGCAATATTCGAGAATTGATCTCACGTAAGCTACAGTGATAGACATTCGTTTAGCCGAGAGCTAAAATTTTTGAAAATATTCAAAAATTATATTTAAAACATGTTTCTATTCGGGATGTGATTTGTCGTAGTGGTAGTGTATCTGCATCACTTTGATGAGAGAGGAACGAGTCGCACGCCCACACTCACCAAACCGGTAGCGGCGGATGTAAACATTCAAACAGCGTTTTCACCATAGACATTCGTTTAGCCGAGGTGCGAAAAAGTTTTGTTTTTGGCAAATATCTCGCGGTTTTCAAGTGTGTTTTAAAGCATTTCGATAAAACAACTTAAAATCAACAAAGTGCGTCAATAATGCGGTGTTTAATTTTTATTGATTAATGACAAATGTAATAGTTTCAGGAATGGCGAAGGGTGCCCGACTGACGGAGGAAGAACGGCGGATTATAAGATTGTTCAAGGAAGAGGGCCACTCAAATGTCTCAGTCGCTAAAATGGGTTCGAAATATGGCATTAAACGTGCCACCAAAGGGCGCACCAAAGTATCTTTAAGGATGAAAGGTCAAATCAGGCATGAAGCAACACAGAATCGACTGTCCTGTTCACAAATAAAGCAAAAGCTCGATGTTCCGGATACTTCCCGACAAATTGCGCGGATTCTGAATGAATCGCCAAACATCAAGTGGAAGAAACTACAAGGAAAACCGAAGCTCAATCTCACTCATAAGCAGAATCGGCTGAAGTTCGCCCGGAAGTACATGGAGTGGAAGACGGGCCTGATTGTTATAGTTGCTACTGGCACGATTTGAATCAAACCAGCGTCGTTAGATCGAAGCGAAACTGTGGTGGTTGAAGTTTGATGGTATGGGCTGGCTTTTCCTACCATGCAAAGCTTCCGATTTGTTTCATCTCAACCCGGATGAATTCCGAAATGTACCTGGAGCTACTGGATGACATTTTGATCGGTCATATTGAAAACGACGCAAATGAGGACATCGTTTTTCAGCAGGACAATGCATCTATCCACGTTTCCAAACAGTCCAAGGCTTGGTTTGATGAAAAAAACATTCCACTGCTGGACTGGCCAGCTTGCAGTCCTGATTGTAATCCCATAGAAAACCTATGGGGAATCTTGGCTGGAATGGTTTACGCAAACGGACGTCAGTTTGACAGCATTTCCAGTCTTAAAACAGCAGTTCAAGATTGTTGGGCCAAAATCGACATAGCAACACTGCAAAAGCTGTCTGATTCGATGCCAAACCGTATTTTTGAAGTGATTCGTAACGATGGCGGCCATACTAAGTATTAACTATCGATTTTCTTCGACATTATTTAATAAAAGTAATCTTCATGGTAAAATTTAACAATTCGGCTAAACGAATGTCTACCCATGTACCGATATTTTTTTTTCAATTTTGTTATCCAAACATAACGTAATTTTAAGTTTTATTAATGAATTTGTTAGAAATAAATTAAATCTATCGTACAAGACCAAATCCGAGCATTCATTGTGTATTACTTTCGATATACATAGAAAAACTGGGTCTCGGCTAAACGAATGTCTACCACTGTATATAAAGTGTTTTGATGGTATATTGGTCTTTAAAATGATAACTAAATTTTTTTTTATAAATCCCAACATATTATTTGCTTTGTGAATTGTGGTATTCACATGATCTACCAATGTCAACTTTGCAACGGACCAGCCCGTCGAGCTTCCTCTTTTAAAGAAAGATGGCTTAAGCGCCACTCCTAAAGGAGACCATCCAACAGTTGGTAGCTTGCCCGGCTTTGAGACCTTCCTAGGGAAAGGATCAAGTTTCCCGAATTTCGGGTAGGAAGCCGACTGACTGACTAACACGCGTTCGGTGTACTTCACGTTAGACACGCAAGATATCCCTAATTCCTATGAGACTTACGCAAATCAGACTCCGACAATCGGCCAAAAACTAGGAACACGTGGACGGGGGTTATCATCACCGGCCTAGCCCTAATCGTTCCCGTTGGTACTGAAACGCTTCCAATTCCAGAGTTGCCAGAAAATTAGACAGATTTGGGCTGACTACCCAATAAACATCATACACCAAAAACTACAAAACGAACGCGAAGTAACATGAAACCTCAAAAGACATCAACCAAACTATCTCTCATTGATACACAACAGAAAACATTCAGTGTAAAGTAAACTGATTTATTTCAAGCGGGATCAACATTTGTACAGCTCTATTCTACCATAAAGCTCAAAGCACAGAAATTCAAACATATACAAAGACGTTATTTCTCGTAGCTTTGTTCCCCTTTTCATTGCCTAGGCCTAGTTGTTTGTCATCCTTTTCCCTTGCGTACTACCTATCTTTCCTAGCGTGTGAAATTATTGTATCCGTCCCATGTATTCCTCCGGTGTGCACTCTGTGGTAACTCAGCGATCGATTGCTTCAATGGTCGTCTTCACATTTCTTTAATTGGTTATTCTAAAGGCTACTCCCGTTCATTGACGGTTTACGGGATAACTATATTTGAGTGTGCCTCAAACGAGTCACATGGCCATGGACGACACAAACAAACATGCATGCATTTTCTACTCACGACCTAGGTTTTACGTGGTGTCCTTTGGTGGGGAGACTGGCGGCGGTATCGAAGCTGCTTGGTGCACTACTCCGGCCCAGAAACGATCGCGGATGCGACAAGGGCTGATGATGTGCCTCCCTCACCGATTCGCGGTCTTACGCGACAGCGTGGTACAAACGCTCGTGCGTACGTTGGCTGAACGTACTCTCCTCGACGAATGACCTGCCTGCCCAGGCGCGACTTGACGATGTACCCGGGAATCTTTTCAACGGATAGGTGGGGTCAAAGAGTGGTTCCAACGAAATGGTGGTGTGTCGGCAAATGACCTGTGCTGCCACGAATCTATGGAAATAACGACGCATATTTCCCCTCTTAGTTTACGCACAATCTACAAACTTTGCACTTTACCCTCCAACTCCGTAGCACTTATGAGAGTGTCGCTAAGTCGGTGGCCTCTCGTTAAGTAAGTACTACATCAACATTTCCTTCCCTATCCCTAGTTATGGTAAAGATGGGCGTGGCCGGGAATAGCGACAGTCATGCTTCTGTTACTCTTGTTTAGATTGGAACCAATGTTTACTCCTCAGCATTATTCCTGAAAGTAGTCTAACTGAGAATTTCAGAAGAGACGTGAGTGTCGCTAGTATCCAATCTACGAAGTATATCATAACAACGCTAACGCTAACGCTAATCTACAAACTTTGCACTTTACCTTTTGCTCTAAGTCACACGCTAACCAATAACCGCCAAATAGCTAATCTATCTTCGCTCACTACTGCTAACTAGGCGAAGGAAAATCTAGTTTAAGTTAACATCTATCAAGACCACATGTTACTATTCACCTTTTAACACACACCACGGCACGGATCCAAAACTGACCACTCTTGTCCTCAAAGTGGACGAGTTAAGGCTAAGTGTGTCCTCAGATACCGCGCTTGGTGACCTTTGTCCCCGGGAATCGCGATTTCAGACGAAGGCCAAAATCACGAAACCGATTCTCAAAATTGAGCATGCGACAATTCCTATAGAAATAGTGACATCTCATTCCACCGAACGAATTTTAATCGTCCAGTCAAATTCCTCTCCCGAGTTCTGGAAAGTGCAAAGCCGAACAGGAAAGGTCAATGCATTCCTAATTGTTTTAGGCGCAGGTCGATGCACGCGAATCG